AAATTATGCACAAAGATCATTAATTTTATATATGAGTGACACTTGACCCCCTGTAAATACGCAATGTCCTGCGACTGTTAGTAGGTCACAATATATATATTGTGACATTAGACTGTTACCTACCTATGAGTAGATTGTTACCTACCTATGTAGCCTAATTCACTTTTTTTTTGGTCACATGCAAACTATCATTAGGATAATGACATGGCCAATTTTCATCATCAGGCCACATGCTAACTATTGGCCACACTTAAGTGTAGCTCATTCCAAATTTTTGGCCATGCAGATGGGGATAGTCTGGGATTTTGAATGTGGCCCCATTTTTATTTTTTAGCCACATTGATTAGGTAGTACTTTTAAAATTTGCCCAAAATTTAGGAGGTCTTTGGACCAAGCCAACTATATATCAAAAAATTGGATCATACTTTTATGTATTACTGGATAGAAAATTTTGATTTTACATTACCATATCAAAATAATTTACAGAAAAAAGTGATACATACCCCATTGAGTTGTTTTTTTTATTATTTTCAATTTATCTATATCTTGTCAATCGGCCAATCAAATTTAAGTCCACTATGCTGTTTATTTCATGTTATTTTTTGTAGGCAGATATTGCACACAAATTAAAAAATACAAACCAAAATGTGGGAGAACAACTATGTATGACTGAATGTCATCCATTACAAATCAAATCAGATTGCTTTATTTTATGAAATAAAAATGTTGTAAAAAGCAATAAAATATAAAAATAAATTTTATAACATATAATTACATAGTGCAGGTGCAAATAAAAAATATAAGAGAGATATTTAGACCTTCAATAGTACATTCATGATTAGGATCAGGAGTTGTAACTGATTTAACAACTTCTTTAACAGCTGCTTTTGCTACAATATAAAAACAAATCATTTTAAATTGTCAATTTGAAAAAAAAATAGCAAAAAAAGTTGTTTAAAGAAGAGGAGACTTGAATGCAACATAGTAATATATAATTATTTATACATATAATATTAATAGAGATAACAAAAAAATAATGCAATTTATGGTTGCAACCAAATCAAATTATTTATAGGTTCAAATCAGAAATTTGGTGATTTGAATCCAATTCAATTCAGTTTGAATTTCATTGATTCATTCAGGGCCTTAGTTGTTGTTTTATTAGTTGTTTTTAATATTAAACTGCAAAAAGTCATTAATAAGGATGTTGGCTGAAATTGT